TGCATATTAATCAGCTCATTGAAAAACACAACTTGGCGTTGAAACGATACACGTACAATGAATATTGCTGACACGAAACATTTACAAAGAAGAGCATAGTAAAAGAGACAATATAAGAAAGGAGAGGAAAATCAAAATTTTTATTGGAATTACGCAAGGTTTCAACGCGTACAACGTTTGAAGATAGAGTCATCTTCTGCAGTTTTGTGAGCGCCGCGATCCCCCGAACTCCCTCCGATGAATTTTTATGGATTTTTGATTCTGCTTTTATCTGAAATCTGATATGTATACGTATCAAATCCAAGATATTTGTCAGAATTGATTTATGTCATAAAACGTGAAGTTATAGAGATTTCTCCTGCGAATGTTACGTTCATCATTGTTGCAGCTACCTTTAATCTATGCGGTGATGAGGTATTAAAATCCAAAATAGCGTTTGGAAACAGGAAGATTAAAATTCTGAACACGATGATAAAAATTTTGAACTTATTTCAACTTAGTTAGTAAAAGTACTGTCCGTATAATTTAAAGACGTTTTAGCCTAAAAGAAGTTATTAGTCTCGAAATGGGATTTTGTATCGGTTCACAATAAACAGAATATCACTTTTCAAACTGTTGCCACAAAATATTATTGCTCTGTATTATTTTAAATAAATTTAATAATAAAGAATTTGCATGTACGTATGCATGTTACTCGTATTCTGAAAAAACGACGGTACGTAGAGCCATCAAATTTTGTATGACGTAGTCCTCCACTGAGAAAGTGCACACGAAAGCCCAAATTTTTAATTTCAAATATGTTTTATTATTTTTTGTTTCATATTCTGTGAAATTTTAATGAATTTTTGATTAACAAGCTCAATGATCTGAAAGTGAGCAGTGGCAATACTATTCGAAATAAAATATTTTTATCTCCAGTGCGCGAGACTATTGCCATTCGCAAAAATGTTTTCTTTCAATTTTAATTAACAAACTCGGCTCTATGAAAATAATGTGTTGCTATGGCCAGAAATAAAATAGTTTTATTTTTCATGCGCCAGCGTGTTGCTATTAAGTAAAGGCTAAAATACTTTTAAATTTAATCTGGAAGGTTACTGATAAAATACATTAAAAGTTTTAGAGGCAATAAGTAGAATTCTTGGAAATAATTATTTTTCTACTTTTTAATGTGATTTTTTTAAATAAAGATGTATTAAATTCATGTTTTATGAAATTACACTACCTGGACTCATTAAGATTGTTATACACTTTTTCTTTTTTATTACTATTATTTTAAGGCATGCCTGCTTTTTAAAGAAATGATATAGTGAATATAAAAATATGCGTGGCAGACGCTAACAGTCTATCGTAAGTTCTAAAAATATGCTGACTTTGAATATTTTATTATTGATTATGCTGAATTGAATTTTATGTGGTTAAGTGCGAAGAACGCGATATTGAGTAAATGAAGTTAACGCAAAATCTCTACATATAACAAAAGAAAAACTCTGTCTGTGTATGTGTGTCTTTCATTCGTGCTACGCGTAAGCTAATAGACCCAGGGCTACGAAATTTGGTACATAGGTGCATCTAGACAAAAGTCAGTGCACTCTGAAGCGATTTTTTTTCAAAATTCGAATCAGATTTTTTAATTATATATTTTTTGATGAAATCTCATCATTTTTAATAGTTTTATTCTTTTAGAAATGTGATTTTGGCAACAGTTTTGCATTCAATGCTTTGTATACTGGACTGCTGACTGTTGAAAATATGGACTACAATATTATTAATCATACACGAAACACGCGCATCGCAATCTTCTTATTCTGACGCGTATATGTCTCGTGAGGCACAACAGAAAGACTTTCCGTTTTTTTCCCCTCTCTCTCTCTCTTTATTAGCTAATGGCAAAGATGCTTGCATATTTTTAATTATGTCATCCACAAAGCACAATTTTGATCGGTTATTATTTTCTGATGATAGTTTCATTCTTTTAGAAATGTGGTTTTGGCAACAGTTTTTCATTCATTGCTTTTGGTTACTGGACTGCTGACTGTTTTCTCTTGAAAATATGAGATTTATTGCTTATTTCATTGTAATTTTTATATTATGTTTTAATTATATGTTATTTTAATTATATAAAATTTTGCATGATTTGTTTTAGGAAACAAAGTTCTTATCTTCCTTTATACCATTTGAATTTTTAAAATTTTGCGATGGGAAGTTGGTTATTTAATTTATTAGGTTAATTAATATTTGTGTTATGTAGGGATATTGCTTATTTTATTGTAATTCTTTTTATATATATATTTTTATTGAAATTTCTGTTTTTAATTTTTGTTGTTTGTGTTTTGATAAAGTTGTTCTGCAGAGTAAAATTCTGTGCAGTTTTTAAATTTAATGTGTGATGTTCCCTTTAGGCATTTTTCTGGTACATTTAAAAGCCAGACGAAGGCTGGCCGCGTATCGGCTAGTGGTTAATAATAAAAAGATACAAAAAATTTTTAGTCATCTTACTAAGACACTGAATATTGATATGATGAACTGAGAAAAGACTAAAAAATATGTAAAAATATATGTCAACACTTAACACTGTATCAGGAATTCTAAACATATTAAAAAGCAGCTCTTAAAATGCTGCTATGCAGCTCTTAAAGTGTTTGTAATTTTTGTTGTTGAGCTTATGCGGCCTAAATGCGAAAAAACGATGCTTAATAATAAAACTAAAACTTTTAAGAAAAGGATAAGTAGAAGTGAGTGTAAGAGCAAAATGGAAGACTGCGAGCTCAGTGAGAGCGTATAAAACCTTAACAAATTCTTTTTGGTGATCGTTAAGTCTGAAAACTTTGAGATTTTTTTTTCTTTTCTTTTTCCTTTCCCTGAAATAACGAAACATAACTCTTTAATATTTTCTTAGTGAAAAATTTCTAACTTGTATATGAAAATATAAAAATTCTGAGTTACTTTAACTGAGTTAGCAAAAGTAGAACTTACATCATTAAACACTTTTTTAATTCTTAAATACTAATACAATCCCTTAATGTATTTTAATTGAATACATCTAAGTCTCTTACTTTTGGTTTCCGACATGTCGAATTCGCTTACTTTAAAATTATATTTAATTAAAATATCATTTAGAAATATTAATTATAATTAATTACAAATGAAGGAATACTTAAACGAAAAGAAATTTGAAAGGAATACAAAACATGATCTGGGAGATAACATTTAGTGAAATAAATTCATGGCTGAATACGTCCTCTTTTCTTTTTAACGCTGCGTTTTACTTTAATATGAAAACAGATTAAAATTAATGGAAATTGCATGCACGCATTTTAAATTTGTTCTTTCAGGTTATGAATATTAATCTTCACATGAATGCTTCAACTCATTTACCGATTTCTATAAATTCTGATTAATTTTGAACTTAAAAGGACTGAAATTTTAAAAAGCGTTAATTTTTAATTGGAAAGTTTGCGGAAAATTAATGAACGACTATAAATTCTCATTACGGGATAATTAAAGCTTAATAACGTTAATGGAGACTTGCTGTATCTCAAGGCTTTGCATGGTCTTGAAGGGATAAACCAATCATGCTATTTTTGTTGTGGGCTTTTTGTTTATCATCAAGGTAAAACGAATGAAAATTTTAAAATATCCTGTTTACACTTTTCAAAGAGAATTTCTTAATTTACTGCAGTTCAGTGCATGTTTTGTAAGTTTTCATTATCGTAACAGGACTTTTAAAAATCTACGCGTAAAGTTTAATAATATTAGCCCTAAGGGTTAAAGATTCAACTAAATATAATTTGTGAAATTTTAAAATCATTAGCCGCTTTTGCTGCCAGACGCCTGAACAATAAATAAAAAAATAAAAATAAATAAAAAAACCGGAAAAAGTATAAAAGAATTTTAATGATTCCAGCTAGTGTCATTTCATAATAACTTTTAATTGAACATGTCATGATTTATATGCACCTTTATTTCACCAAATAGAAATATTCTTATGAACTGCGTTTATTGCTTTTACATTGCTTGATTTGTTAATCCACAGCAAAGAGATTAAATTCGTAAGTTAAATAACTTATGCATTTTTGAATGGCAACATGCTGGCACGTTGAATATAAAAGTATTTTATTATAGGCAGTGGCAATACACTGCTTTTAAATAGCCCAGTTTATTGATTAAAACAAAAGTATTACTTTTTGCCGAATGGCAACAGTGTAGTGCGCTAGAGAAAAAAATTGTTTTATTTCCACTGCCACTCCTCGCTTTTAAATTGCTGAATTTGTTCATCGAAAATTCATTAAATTTGTACAAAATATGAAATGAATTAAAACCAAATCTGACATTCAATATTCAGCTTCAGGATACGCACGTGCTTGTGAAGGACAACGCATATTCAGAATTTTGCAGCTCTAGGCGCTAGTGCTTGCCATAGTGCGAAAAACGTATAAATATCACACGCACACATACATACAGGTAACTTAATTACTTAATATTAGATACAGATTTTATCATAGAAAAGGAAAACTATAGGGTAATTTTAATAGTTCAACTAGTGTCATTTAAAAAAGAATACTTTTTATTCGACATCAGGTGATTTAAATGCATCTTGATTTATCAATCAAATTTAATAGCATAAAAAACAAAATTAAGTATAAAAAGTATTTATAAATGCATTTACTGCTTTTAAATAGCTTAACTTGTTGCTTAGTTGCAGAGGCACTAGGCTTTTTTTGAAGCAGGAGAGATGAAAAATGAGCAATGCCCTCTCAGGGACTCGAACTACAGACCTCTCGAATACGCGTCGAGCTTGCTCACCACTACACGACGAAGGCATGCTAAGAAGGCGGAAGAATTACATTATATACTCCCCGTTTTAAAGAACGACTGGGGATTACGTGACCTAATCGCCATATCCTGGTGGTGAAGGATCATCATCCACCACCCATTTAGTTCGGACGCCGCTGTAGAGTCATTAGGATGTTTTTGAAGCAGTAGAGATGAAGCATAAGCAGTGCCCTCTCCGAGACTTGAACCCCGGACCTCTCGAATACATGTCGAGCGTGCTGACCACTACACCACGAAGGCATGCTAAGAAGGCGGGAGAAATATCTTATATAGCAACAGACAGATTAAATTTGAAAGTTAAATATAGCTGAATAGGTTTAGCTGAATGGCAACACAATGCCGCGTGGAAGATAAAAGTATTTTAGTGCTGGCAATGGCAACATGCAGTTTAAAATAGCCGAATTGGCTAACTGAAAGCCTGATATCCGACATTTTCACGAATGATAACAATCGGGCTCGCTGCAGATAAAAATACTTTATTTTGAAGAGTACTCATATATTTAAAAACAAACCACTATTTTTTTAAATATATGAGTTGTTAATAAAAAATTCATTAAGTTTGCATAATATATGGTATAAATAAAAAATAAGTTTGAAATTTAAAATCTGGACTACGAGTGTTTAAAATTTGATAGCTTTAGGTGCAGCCGTGTTTTCACAATGCGAGAAACTTGCATACATACATACACATACATATTCTTCATTATTTAATAATATAAATTAAAAGAACCAATTAGCTCGTCGAAAAATGATGTTTTGTGTATACTATTCATTACCTACATTTAGTAAATGTTTACATTTAGGGGAAAGATAATTATGCGTTCAACACCTGAAGCAGTTAATAATAATAATAATAATAACAGCATGTTAATTTAACACTGTAACAAAAGCTGAGAGATTTGCTATAAAATAGTTTTATTGATCCATTATACCATAGCGAGGTTCATAAAAATATCACAAATTGTTTTGAAAACGACCGTATTCACATGTTTAACGTTGAGATGATCGATATTTCGATACAATCTGCTCTTAAAATAATACTTTTGTACAGGATGTTCAATAAAGATGGCTAAAGGAAATATTCTCTTAACTGTATAATGATAAAAATTTTAAAATATTAAGATCCCCTAAAGTAAGTTTTAAAACGTTGGTCTTCAGACTTTCCAGCCAATAATGTGGCAGACTACATAAAAAGTATTATATTTAACACATTTTCAGTATAAGATGTTAGTAAGTGATACCGCAGCCGTGTCAAGGGTCCGACGAGTGAGGCGTTTAACTGATATAAAAAATAGAATTTAAATATACAAATTGAATATTAATATGTAAGTAGCAAAAATTGTACCGTTTCTAATTCCCAATTTAGATATTTGCCTTGGAGAGTAAGATGCCTCTCCTTTAAGAGATACTCGCAGATTATAGTTTGCTGCTGGTTCCTAGATATTTCGTTAGAGATGTAAGACATAAGAAAATCTGCTCTTTTAGTGAGAGCAGACGCTTGGGCTTCCCATAGTCTAAAATAGTTATCATAAAAAAAAAAAAAAAAATACGATGATTTTAATGAGTGTAACTCGTATCATTTCATTGGACCTAGTAATGATTAATAACAATAGTGATAAAAAACTCCGTTTTTTTAATCGATTGTTTGTGAACAACAAAATACAGATTAAATTCTAAGAAATTAAATACCTTATGCTTTGCCAAATAGCAACATACTGGTGCGAGGAAGAAAAAATTGTTTTATTCCAAGCAGCGGCAACGCACTTCCTTTAAATCACTGAATTTGTTCAGTAAATTTGAAATACTAAAGCTTTGTGGAGTGTTTTCACACTGATTTTAAATCGCTGAGACTGTTAATTTGTTAAGATTTCATTAAAATTGCATATAACATATTTTTTTTTTAAATCAGAAACTGAGAATTCAGAATTCGGGGATATATGGTCAAAATTCATCTCTCTAGGTATCGCCGTTTTTGTCAATCCGAAGTTCATACATACATAACCTTTATATATACGTACTACATATATACATTTATGTAAATGAACATACGTGTATATGAACATACATACATACTTATAATACTTATACATGTGTATATGTACATATTTATTGTTTATTATTTAATAACTAACATAAACAGCAACCATGATTACTCAAACATTTTAAAAAGGCAAAAGGCACCTCGATCGTAAAGTCGCGAACACTTTGGGGACATCGTAGAGAACTCTTTAAGTATCTTTATCTCGGTATACATTTAAATGTTTTTGTGCTGTAATTCTCTTCATGTACACAGCGATCTGTTTAATAAAACATAAAAACTAAGTTAAAAGGAAATAAAACAAAAATGTACAACAATATCAATGTCAGACTTTCGATCTGATATTTATTTCATCACTTTCAGTTATTTATAGAATATTCTTTAGCGTTAACTGAATTTGATTCACTTGATGCTTTTTATAACTATCAAAATAAGGAAATTTCAATTTTATGGTTGCAATTCACTCTTCGCTTTTCGCATTTTAATGAAAAACAATTATTTCAGTTGTCGATTCTCGTCTTTTTTGTCAGAGATATCGTCATTTCATGGTTGCTGAAAATTGCGTGTAGGAAGAACCTTTTCCCTGCTAATAAAAACCAACAGCCTGTCTCAGTTCTGATAGTTTTAATTATTGCACTTAATGTTTAACGTCTGTAGCTTGAAATAGCTTAACGTTGCCATTTAACGGTTATTCACAGAATATATTTAAACTCCTGGTGAATTATCTCTCCTAATATAATTTAGATATTAAAACCACATATAAACTGAAATGCAAAATCAGCACAGAGCTTTATGATCCATATCTAGTGGAATTTATTAAAACACAAAGACTTTAAATAATAACATAAAGACTAAATGAGTTCTTTTCGTTCACAAACTTACGCAACTATTAATTTACGGTGAATAGTGAATTTATAATATAATTATTTGAGAGATAATTTTTAATATATTATTATTTAAATTCATTTCTTTATTAAATACGCTACTTTCTTAAATAACTAGCGAAAAGAGCTGTATAGCTAAAAAGCGGGTGTTTGTTCGTTTCCACGTCCAATTTGGGGTGATTATGTTGACGGACTTCTGTTCTTCCGCAGATCCCCCTTCTCCCTCCTTTACTTCTAATCTGCGCACGTGCTTTTCTCGTTGGGGGCGAGAAAGTTTCGGCTTTCTTCTGAAAAGAAACTTTTCTGTTTTGTTGATCACTTTTTGGTGTTGCACCTTTGACAGAATTGCAGATGAAAACATTCTTGAAGTTCGGTGCGAGAACGGGGTATGCACTTTAAAAGGAGGTTAGATTTTTCTTGGAAATTTGGAGCTAAATTATTGCCCTTTTTCTCGTTGGTTAGAGAGCGTTCAAGATAAGTGTGAGATTGGGTAATTATTAATTTGTAGTTGATTTGGGGTAATAGTAAATTTAGAGGCGGTCCGTAGTTTGGCGTTACCGAGGAGCGTCCGTAGTTAAAATTTGTTGCACAGAGGTAGGGGCGGACGTTTCCCGATTTTTCTTTCACCTTATTGAATTTACAAACGAACGAGGAAAGGCAGCGAGTGAGAGAAGCAAGTTTTCGACCGTAGCCCGGCGGCCTAGAGCCGACCGGGGTCTGGGAATCCAGTTTACCCGGCATTAAGAAATTTGATGGTTGAGTTTCTTCACAGCCGTCCCGGCCAAGTATGAATAGTCGCATAAGAATAATTATAGAGTGCAAACTTTGAAAAGTCACATGTGAATTATTAAAGAGTGTCAGTGTTCCCGTAGCCGACACGGTGAGCTCCTTTCGTTTCATCGAAAAAGGCGATTTCTAGCCGCTGAGATTTTTGCTTGAAATCTCGGGTTTTCGTGGCTTAAAGTGCTGAAAAAAATGCTTGCTTGCTCAAAAAGGTGCGTGGATCTCCGAAAGGGGAACGTATAGCTGAAGGAAAGGAACCTAATAAAGAAGCATTATGTTTGACAAGTTTGCGAACATATTAAGGACGATCATCTCAGTCTCCGTATTCTTCTGATATACATGTAGTTAGTGCAGTTAGGCCTTTGAGATTAGCAGTTTTCAATGAGAGTAGTAGTTCTGGATATCATCATCTGGGATGCCGCCAAGCAAAGGAATGGACGATCACTTCTATTACCATATTACCCTGTTAATCTTGAGGACTGAAGGATCAGTCCAAGCGTGTTTGATGACATGACCCTACGTAAGTAGACCTGGAAAACACCGTGCTTTTTGGGTGCGGACTTTCAATTTCATTTATGGATCTTATGTTCTGAAACTATGAGTGATTTATTTTCCTTTGCTTTTTCCTTAATAATTAATTATTAGGATTTTGGAAGGTTACTTTCTAAGGCATGAGTAGTCGTTTTGATTGTTAGATGAAAATCTGAGATGCTACTTAATTAATAATTGAGAAAGTGAATTTTTGAAATGTTTAATTGACATGAGTTACAATTTAAATTAAATTAATAGATGAGGGAAAATCTTAATGCTTCATAAAAGAAAATAGCACTTATCTAATGTGCATAAATATTATATAAATAATTTAATTAATTAATTAGTAAATGTCAGAAGATGTAATTATTGCTGTATTACTGGTGAGAGAAATTTATATGTTCCTCAAATTTAGTTTTAGTTGTGAGCTTAATTTATGAGTGATTTTAAAATAATGTTCATGTAGGGTCTGGATCCAGTTATCTTAATTTATGCTATTCTAAAAACTTTAATAAATGCGTTTAGTGATTTAATAGTGTGTGTTTTATTTGAGTCATTTTATATGGTGGTCTGTTTCATGTCACCCATGTGATCCTTACGGAAAATATGGATTTCTAAATACAAACTTGGTGAGTAAAATTATAGGGAAGATTGGTAGTTATAGGGATAATTGGTAAATTAATTAAAGGTGTATTTGAACTATACGATCGGATATTAATTTTACTGGAATATGAATATAAATATCTGAAAGCTAATTTTTAATATATTATTATTTAAATTCATTCCTCTATTGAATACGCTACTTTCTTAAATATCTAGGGAAAAGAGCTGTATCTGGTGATTGATTCTTACTTGGGTGGTTAATCTTTTCCTGGTGTTTTGAAGTATTCTTTGTTTATATTTAAATGAAAAGAGTTCGTTTCTATCTCTAGAGTTTAAGAATTGTTGCACTAAAATTTATGTGTTTTCAGGAAAGACAGAGGATATAGATTTATTTTATTGAG